CTCCTCTTGAGGCAGAGATTGTTGAGGAGAAAATCGTACCTATGCTTTGGCATTTTATTACCAAAGAAACAGGAACCCTTATTCTCATGTGGGTGATTCAGAAATCTGACTCTTCTTAGGAAGCATGACGAGAAAAACCAGAGGGTCCGATGCCAGTTGATAGAGCAAGGAAAAAATGATAGCGAAATAACATTACAGGAAAAAGAAACCAGATGACTGAAAAGAAATGGTGGACAAAAAAGGGGAATGAGACAGCTGAAGGAAGGCAGGGTTGGGAGAGAACATGGGGCTAAGCTGTCAAGCAGAGAAGAAAACCAAGCCACACTGTGAAGCAGAGCCATGGCAAGAACACAGAGACATAGTCATTCAGTCAGCCAGTCAGCCAGCCAGTCAGTCCGTCCGAGGGTCGGCCATTCACGCAGCAGAAACTCGGAAAATGCCTTCAAGATTCCAGCATTGTACTGGATTCTCAAGCTCCATGAGAGCAAAGCTGATCGGATAGACAGCTGCTCAAATGGACTTTCCCACCCAGTGATGGGGTCAAGGCATCCACCTGTAAACCAGGCTGGTTCAGCCCTGACAATCAAGGTCCTGACGGGTGGAGGCCAGGGACACGCATTCTCCAGCTGTCTTCCCACCATAAAAGGCACTGCCAGTCCTCAGAAAGAAAGATATTTGAGAAGGATGGAGGGTGGAGATAGAACTAATGCAGAGTTCAGAGAAAAGGGTGCTGGGGCGGGAAGGTTTGGGCAGAGAAGATGAGAGCAGGAGGAGAGAACCCTGATTGGGACCAGGCAGCTGCTTTCCAAGCCCGATTCCAGCCCCATCTCTCCTTCCTAGGAGAGGAAAAATGAAGGCAGAGATATGAGGATGGGAATAATGTCAATAAGGAGGGGAATAGCCCTTTTGCTGTCATTTTGTTTTGTTTTGTTTTGTTTTGTTGTTTTTTTAGACAGGGTTTTATTCCCATTGCCCAGGCTGTACTGCAGTGGCACACTCCCGGTTCACTACAACCTCCACCTCCCAGGTTCAAGCAATCCTCCTGCCTCAGCTCCCCCAGTAGCTGGAACTACAGGCGTATGCCACCACACCCAGCTAATTTTTGTATTTTTAGTAGAGATGGAGCTTCACCATATTGCCTAGGCCGGTCTCAAACTCCTGGCCTCAAGTGATCCACCCACCTTGGCCTCCCAAAGCACAGGGATTACAGGCATGAGCACCTTTGCTGTCTTTTCTCACTCTTTGGAAAGTTCCTGAAGGAAGCACAGCTGAGTCTCTCCCCTAACCCCAGCCAGTCAGCAATTGCTGAAAGAAAATCACATGGCTCCCCCGATGCACTCCTCGTCACAAGGGAAGAATACTCCAAGCATGAGAATGGATCCTGAAACCTGCCCCTGGTGGAACTGTCAGTTTGGGAGCGTCCAAATCCCTGCTATGCTTACACACATCTGGCTGCTGTCACACACTTAATGGGATAAATAAAATGTTGTCATTTATGGGAAGGCCTCTGGCCTGGAAGCATCTCCCACTCACTGTCTGAGAATCCAACATCTAGAGATTTGCTTAGGTTAAAAATAAAATATTCCTGGGGTTAGGGCTAGAGAGTAACTGACATTCAGATCTTAGTGAAAATTTGTTTTAACCAACTCTCTTTCTCACCCTATGCTTACACCTGAGCCACACTGAAGAAATGAGTGTGTTGAACGGGGTATGGAAAGGGGGAGGCCGGGACCAACCTGTGAAGACAGGAACACAGCAGGAGACTAGAGAAAGGGCCCAAGAGCTTGGCTCTGGGTCAGCCAGACCTGGAATTAAGAGGGAGGCCACACAAGGAAAGAAGCGATGGAAAGGAAATGACTGAAAGGAAATGTTGAGGTTTGAGTGTAAAACTGGGCTCTGAAGCAGAATGAGTGTCCTTGAAGGAACTGTGGGAAGTCCCAGGACTTTCAAACCATATTTATTAGCATGCACATTCATAGTGCATTTATTTTTTCTCTTTTTCAAAAATTGAAATTCTTCAATAAGGAAAAGCCCCTCCCTGCCCTCGCTGACTTACAGAGTAGTGACGTTCCCAGACAAGGTGAGTTTTGGTGTGCTCAGCTCAGACGTTCCTGCAGTCATTAAGCACAGGCCTAGGCAGGTCTTTGTGAAATGGGTTTCCCTAATCACATCACTGTCGCTACTAGGAGGAAATATTGGACAATATATAGGTATCATAATGTAAGACAAATTTCTTCCTGGAACTGACCGCATTTGCACAAAATGTTGGCATTAACCATTGTTTTTCCATCACAGATGAGGTTCAGAAAAGCATTTTCTTCAATTTGGCTTCCCCCAGCTGCGTACTTCATCACTTCCCATAGGCCATCCTCTCTCCTAAGAGATGTATTATTCCAATATATTTGGAGATTACATAAAGGAGCATGGGTCCTGAAATCACGCTGCCCAATTTCAAGCCTACCAGTAACTATGTGAGTGACCTCAGCTGAGCTATTCAAACTTACTACACCACAATTTCTTCATTTGTAAAATGGGGATATGGATATGAGTCACAACTCTTCATTGTTACTCATGATGATTAAATCATATGGAAAGTGTTCAGCACAGTGCCTTGCCTGGCTTAAATCAGACACTGAAAGACTGTAAACTTTATTATAATTATAGGACAACACTAAAAGCTTTAGAGCTAAATAAAACTTTCTCAGTTAACATGTTTTTTTCCTTAATAAACACCCATTGCACGCGCTTGTGTGTGTGTGTGTGTGTGTGTGTGTGTGTGTGAATTTGAGACACACGGAACTCAGCAGGGAGTGTGCTTCAGAGGTAATAAATGCTCACTTCAGAGGTAATAAACGCTCGCTTCAGAGGTAATAAACACTCACTTCAGAGGTAATAAATGCTCCACACTATTTTGTCTTCTTTGGGTTCTTCAGTATTTAAGTTTACTCTTTGTTTATATTGATGCACTTTTTGACTAAATTTCAGAGCACTGTTTGCCGAAGAAGATTTTAAGAGCACCGGCAATTTGTCATGACGCTGATAGGTCCACAGAGCAGAGAGGAAAAGGAAGACATAAAATCAAGACCTTAGGTTTGAAACAACAACAACAAAAAATTGTTCAGGGCCATTAGGAATCATCCATTCAAACTACTCCTTTTTCAGATAAGAAAACTGGACGCCCAAAGGGATCACAGGACTTCTCCAAAGCCACTCTGCCAACTGTACACGAAGCTGTGACAAAAAGCCCATGGAGAGGGAAAAGGAGCTTGGGAGTGAAGAAAGAAAAGAAAGGAGGTGGAAGGAAAGTCAAGATGTTATTTTGCAATCCCTCTGAAAGGAGTGAAGAGGGACATGTGAGATTGCATAATTCATAAAGCTCCTTTAGTAACAGCCTGTGGCAATCTGAGAATCTGAGAATAAAGGACATTCGATTGGGAGTCCCATACCCTTTATCTGTCATTCTTATCAGTATTATAGCAATGAGGTTTGTGACAATCTCTTTAATAAGCATTTTTAAGAGTTCAGCTTTTTACTGAACATGTTCTAAAACAGTGTTACCCAAAAACAAACAAACAAATCCCATGTTATTGTCAGACTTCAGATTCTTCTTTGCTTCCACTTTCTTCTCCTTGGCCTGGGCAGCAGTGATGTAGGGGCAGGACCTCCTGCAGGTGCACCACCAACTGCTGGAGCAAGTCCTCCTCTCCCACACCTCCACTGCAGAGGAGGCTACCAATCTTGACAACAGCCAGGGCCTCGGAAGACAAGCCAGGCCAAAAGCCATCATCATTTGCCCCAGCTGCTTTAGTAAGAATATTAACCTTATCTTCTATGATGATCGCCTCAGAGTTATGCAGAACAAGGGCTGAGTCAGTGCAGGCGAGCTCTGAGACAGAGTCCGTGGCGTCGACAAGTGCAAGGCTGGGCGGCCAGGAGCAGGGCTAGTGCTGGATGCACTAAGGGCCTCACGCCAATGCGGCCTCAGCTCAGAAGGATGGAGCATCTTGGCGGCAGCTGGGAAAAGGCTAATAAGCATTTTTAAAATTTGTAAATTGAGTAACTGGAGAATATAATCCCTCCTTTAAGACTTCACAGTTTTGTTCTGCTGCTGCCAAAAGCCCCATGGCAGTCTCTGTGCAGGACATGAAGGGTCCTGGGGCCTGGTTCCTGCAGTGCACATCAACAAGTAGGGTTTGGGTAGTAGAGAAGGTGGAAAAGGGCATCAAGGACACAGTGGCCCGACTTGACAGGACAAAAAAAAGTGACCAATGGCCTAGAGAAAAAGTGTATTGAGTCTGGCTAGAGAAAAATAATAACAAGCAATCATATTAGAAAGCTGGTTAGGTCCCTTGAATGTGAAGCAAATGACACTCATTTGGGAGTCATCAGGAGATACTGACAAGGGTATCTCATGGTGACATCAAAGGCATCATCTAGGAAAAGTGATTGAGAATCACTGGTCCAACGGTGGCAAGGCCAATATTGTGTAAAGTTGAGACTCTCATCAAAATCCGTAATTCCAATATTCAGAAGGGAAAGAATTCATCAACACTGAAGTTGTATGTTTTACACGACACTGCATCAGAGAATAAAGGGCATGTCCAGGTCACTGAATTTTAATACAGATTATTTGCATGGATTCCAACTTACTTTTCAATTTTGGCAAAACACCTTGCATATTGGACTCAGTCAGAATTTCACATTTTCATTTGGTAAAACTTCACAGTAGCCATTGGTCACTGAGAGCCAGTGCAGCCCTATCCACCCGGCCTGCTCCAGTAATTGGTAATACACACGGACCAAGTAGGAACGGTCTTTGAAGACATTGCAAAAGGGTGACATTCTTGGGAGCCAGTCAGTCAAATGTGAGAAACTCCAATGGATTTGGGATGATTTTAAAAGTTTTAAAAATATATGAAGATGTTTGTTTGATTGTTTTTCTAGCCAAGTGGCCTGCTGACTTGTAAATAATATGTATGAATCTGTGTGTTTTCTTCCAGGGTCTTTCTTCCCCAATTTCAAGCCCTCTGAAACCGTTTTTAAAATAGTCTTTTGGCTCGGATATCTAAACAGCTGCATCAACCCCATCATATACCCATGCTCCAGCCAAGAGTTCAAAAAGGCCTTTCAGAACGTCTTAAGAATCCAGTGTCTCCGCAGAAGGCAGTCTTCCAAGCAAGCCCTGGGCTACACCCTGCACGCCCCCAGCCAGGCCCTGGAAGGGCAGCACAAGGACATGGTGCGCATCCCCGTGGGATCAGGAGAGACCTTCTACAGGATCTCCAAGACGGATGGCGTTTGTGAATGGAAATTTTTCTCTTCCGTGCCCCGAGGATCTGCCAGGATTACAGTGTCCAAAGACCAATCTTCCTGCACCACAGCCCGGGTGAGAAGTAAAAGCTTTTTGCAGGTCTGCTGCTGTATAGGGCCCTCAACCCCCAGCCTTGACAAGAACCATCAAGTTCCAACCATTAAGGTCCACACCATCTCCCTCAGTGAAAACGGGGAGGAAGTCTAGGACAGGAAAGATTCAGAGGAAAGGGGAATAACCTTAGGTACCCAGTCCACTTCCTTCTTGGAAGACCGGCTCTTCCTGGAGGACAAGACAAGACCAATCAAAGAGGAGACCTTCTGGGAATGGTGTGGGGGGTAGACCCACCTCATCAGGGAGCGGGTAGGGTGCAGGGAAGAGGGAGAGTGTCTCACAACCAATCAGTTCCGAACCATACTGAACAGCATTTCCCTGCAGCTATTGCTTTCTTGTTCACTCTGCGCCCGCTTCAACGAAAACCACCATGGGAAACAGAATTTCATGCACAATCCAAAAGACTATAAATATAGGATTATGATTTCATCATGAATATTTTGAGCACACACTCTAAGTTTGGAGCTATTTCTTGATGGAAGTGAGGGGATTTTATTTTCAGGCTGAACCTACTGACAGCCACATTCGACGTTTATGGGGAGAGGGCCTAGAGAGGAAGAGCGTAAGATGGTGGCCGAGATCCAGACACGTTATTTTTAGAGCAAGTCGTGAAACTCCACCCTTTCTAATACAACCAGTTTCTCAGTTTGAGGGAAATTTGACAGTGAGATTTACCTTTGACTGCACTTTGAATGAATGCTGCCCCTCATTTCCCAGTGACAGTGAGGGAGACTCATGTCTCAGAATGTAGCATTCTCTATCCTTGGGTCAGGAGAGGGTTCAAAGAACAAATCAGGGCAGTATGGCTTTTCCCAAGAAAAGCTCTTGTCTACTGGCTTTTCCCAGTAGACAAGAGCATTGTTCTTTCCATTTAACTACTACAGAGAAAAATCCAGTAAAGTGTTCCAAGATCAGATGATGATAGGCTTCCTCTGTTATATCTTTAAAGACCAAGAGCTTGGAGGGCTGTTAATTTCTTGCAAAGATAGAGGCTGTTCACTTACTGCACAGTCATTTCAACACGGCTTAGAAAAGCCTTTCTTGGCAAATCACTTACCTATTCCAGAACTCTGTTATGAAAATCCAGAGCTTATAATATTTTGAAAGGCAAAAGACTGGCTCTCATCACTTCTCATCTGCTTCACTACTGCATAATGAATGAGCTTCGCCTGTGGCATGTTGGAATGAGCCTTATGATCCAAGTACGTTCTCCCCGAACGTTGAAAAATACTAATGCTTAGCTTCAGGTAGATACTGATGGATCACAAGAGAACTGTCTAAAGCAGGAGTTTGCAAACATTTTTTGATAGAAGCCCATTTGTTCAGGAATCAGATCCGGTAGTCAATTCAACTTAAGCTATTCCTACTTTTCTGCAAGAACCTGGGAAACATGCTGTATTTTGCTTTATGTATACCAGATTTTGGTATACATAATAACTCAGTACACAACTTATCTCCTTTCCAAAATTCCTGGAACCAGAAGTGTTTCAGATTACAGATCTTTTTCAAATTTTGAAGGATTTGCATATACATAATCAAATATCTCAAAGATAGGATCCAAGTCTAAACACAGCATTCATTTATGTTTCGTACACGCCTTATACACATAGCCTAAGCGTAATTTTATACGATATTTTTTATTGACTGTTTTTGACTACAACCCATAGACAGGAGACCAGGTGAGGAATTTCCCACCTATACATCATGTTGGTGCTCAAACAATCTCGGATCTTAGAGCCTTTTGGATTTCAGAATTTTGGATTAGGGCTGCACAAGCTATAGACCACTAATGATGAAGATGGTAACTATATGTAAAAATTAAAATATGGCTGTCATTCCACAATAAGAATTTTTAAATCAGATTTATGTTTTTGGAATAATTCTTGACAATCAGTAATCTAAAACAAAAGACTGGCATCTTTCCTCTATTAAGGTCATTTCCTCTAAGAAAATCAAAGCAGCTATAACCTTCACCGCAAGAGTAGTGGCCTTGACATCTTTTTCTTCTTCCCTTGCAGCAAGATGATAATTTCCTTAAATCCTTCTTAAAAAAACAAGTCTCTTCACATTGCAATAGATGGTATGTTTGCATGTGGATTTGGATTTTCTTATAGGTTGTGTTTAGACCTGGGTTGTGACTGTTTCTTCAGCCTTTTTCTGAAGAGTGTCTTCTTACTGGCCAGATACATATTCACCCTTGTATTCAGAACTTGGATTCTGGCACTGAGATGTTGGCCAGATTTTTAGAGTCTTCTGTTCTCTTTGCATGTCCCCTAAGAGCTCTGCCAGATGTGGATATCCTATTATAGAGGCAAGCGTCTAAGAAGAACGTGAATATGCAAACCCTCACTTCTCTTCTGCCTTGATAGGAAAGATCAGTTTCATTGTTGAGAAGAGCTTGGTCCAGGATCTAAGAAAATTACTTGCCCCACTCCTCCTTCCAGAAAGAATATCTCCATGGGAAGAATGGTTAACATTTTTCTTCAATAAATTACGGTTCCATGTTTGAGATGATCTTTAAACATCTTTACAGATAAATTTTAGATATGGGAAAGCTTAGAAACACAGGAAATCTGGCACTAATGCCACATCTAATCAAAATAAACAACTAGAGAATCTTTTGGTCATCAGAATAAAACCATAACAATTGTATCCATGTAAAACTATCCGTAAATAATTGTTTGCTACACTCTTCTCCAGCCCCCTCTCTCCAGGGAGGTAAACTTTTAACGTATTTCTCCTTTCCCATAGCATGACACACCAATTTTACAAGAAATTGATAATGTCTCCCAAAACTTAGTCAAAGTAGGGTAAACAATATATGAGTTAAATTACTTTTTGCTCATTTCTCCTAAATCTCTGTACCATTAACCATGCCAAAAAATATCTAAAATTGTTGCAGTACAGAAAATAATTGTCATATTTATACTCACATGTTTACTGCTTCTATTTGGGGTTGGAGGAATTTACCCAGAGTAACGATGTCTTCTCTAATGTGTTATAAAAAGTAGTTGCTTTGGGGTTGTCTAAACATCACAAAAATCAATGTGACCTTCTGGGATAGGGGAAATTTGAGCTTATTCTGCAACTCAAACTGCATGCATTAAGAGAGACCCTGAATCTCATTATTGAAAAATTTCTCCAGATTATGTCATGGATTTCAGAAAAGTATTTTACTCATCAGTTATCTTTCCTTTTCCTCTTCATGTCTCCTCCAAGAGGACTTTTGCTTATAATCACATAGCCAATCTAAAACTCTATAAAATATTCAAAAATAAATATTCCATGGTAGACAGCAGTGTTTGGATAAATAAATATTCTCTTAAGATTTTTCTGTTAGGTCTTACTGTGTGCCAGGAATCTGCAGGAAATTTTGTACCCATTGCCTCAAAACTCCCCGGAAACTCTGCTACTCCTATTATACAGATAAAAATCTGATCATTGTGAGAGGTTAAGGACTTGCCCAAGACCAAGGGAGAACCATGATTGAAACCTGCATCTCCCTATTCTGAACCTGTACATTTTCCATAGCTCCCCTTCTTCAAAAGAATGGGGTAAGACTTTTCCCATTTGGATTGGGTATGCTGAGGATGCCAAGGCACAGCCAAACTTTTTAATGTTTTCTTTCCTTGGGATTTGCCTCCAAATTAACCATGGCAAACATGCTGTCAAATCAGCCAAGTCAAACCCAAGAGCAGGGTATTCGTGGAAGGGTTTGCTGTCTGCCCTTCTAACCATCAGACTGCACCACATTTTTAGGAGTTAATGGCCTGGAATGTGATGAAGTCCTTGCAGGGACATACTATGGCATGTTAGGGGAAGATGGGCATGTAAGAGAATACAGAAGAGGCCACATTGGCCAAGAACAGTACAATCCCATTGCAGATAGGACACATATTGGGTGTCGTGTTGAAGTTATTGATGATCAACCACAGTTAACAGAAACACTTTTTGGCAAGTACATCCCTTTTAAAAAAGTAAATGAAAACAAATACAACATCACTCGCTCTCACTCACCTGTATTCCAACTGTATGTTTTTTTAAGTTGGACAAAAGGGAAGATATTTCATCAAGAATTGCAGAGAGCATGTAAATTTTATGAGGTCACCATGGGGAAAGGTTTCAGAATGCTGACTTCCAGGTAGCTGAAGACCTAGGCAGTCTTTGAAAAATGAGGCACCAGCTGGAAGCTATGGCTATGTATCAGGTGACATTGCTTGTTCCTAATTTCTCTTCACAAGTGAAAACTGGATATCCCAACCTTCTGGCCCAGTAGGTTTCATGGTTAAGACCTGGGAGTGAGAACATTTTAGGAACCGTTTGCTTGGGCAGGTAATTGTTCACTCTTTGATCACGGCTACTTAATAAGAGCTTGACAGACTTTCTCAATTACTTCTGGGGCTGGTCTTCTCAGGCTATTTGGCCATAAAAGATGCTGCCTCTGTGTATTAATACTTGTTGACTTAATTAAGGAAAGAGTGCTGCTCATCAGCATAAGGTGCCCAAGCAGATGGAAGGTAAATTCTCTAAGAAGAAAACAGATAAAAAGAAAGCAGAGGAGGCAAATATGGAGACATCAGAGGTATGCTCACCAGTTACTCTGATTTTTTTTTACACTACTAGGACTTTTAACCATGAAACCACCTGCGCACAGCTCCAGTGGAGCCCAGTTGGAACCCTGTTTGCACCTGCTCCGTGTCTGCAGACTGTGCTGGGGAGCTGGGCTGAGCCAGGCTGCTGTGGTGCCCACCATCTTCAGAAAGCAATGGCAGCTGTGGCCTCCTGGCCCTCCAGAGTCCCTGGGAGCTGAGTGAGTGGAGATGACCATTGCGGGACTGGGCTGACAAAAGCAAGTTAGGATTTCAGCAGAGGACACCAGTCCCTTGCTGCTGCTCCCATCAGCCTTAGCTTGTTCACACTCCCCAGACCCAAATGTCGTGGAAGAGGGGCTGAGAATGGCC